AGCTATAGCAGAAAGCACCTTGTGGAAAATTCTCGTTCTCTGCTGAAACTTATAATAATAATATTTATGGCTTTATTTAATTATTGTAAAAGTATTTGTTGAATGAAAACCTTCCTTGTCTTTCTCTACAACATGCCTCTGTGATGCAACGTGGAAAACATATTCCTGTAAAACTTTATACTGGTTCAAGGGAAAACAAATTCTAGACATATTTTTCACACTGATAGGTAAAGAGGATATCAGACACACACACGCACACAAATATATATATATATATATATATATACGCATACAGTGATGTGCACCATCATTCAAAGGCATGTCACTCAAACGTTTTGCGGCTTACTATCGCAGATAAAAGAGAAGTTAGTATCCCTGACGTAACAGTGGTAGTATTTATAAAGATTACAGTATAATTCGATGCCAAGTAAGGGAAAAATGGATACTACAAAGCTACTCTTTTTTTCACTCCTTTGTGTTCTTAGTGGAATATAGGCCTTCAAGTCTTAAAGTTTCAGTGTCTGTGGTGTTGCTTTTACGTGGTAGGACTGCCAACTTCACTTCTAATTTCCCTCTTTTCCGGGATTACTGCTGGTCAGTAAACAAGGCGAGGTTTAGCAGTGTGTGGTCCGGCGGTCATTTCTACCATTGAATCATCCACGCACACAGAAGTATGTACATCGATGTTTGTCATATCAGACTTATTAATCTTGAAGTCTGTAAAGTCTTATGCAACCAGTGATTAAGTACCTTGGACACTATTATGTGTTGAATGAGATTCATTGATAAGAATACTTCAGAGAATGAAGTAGAATTTCCAATATTATTGTTATTATTATTCAAGATTAAATATGTAAAAAATACAAGGTGCTAGAAACTTTAGTTACAAAGTTAACTTTCGGATGCCTGATAATCTAAAGAAAACAACTATATCTGAAACTGCAATTCTACGAGGACAACAGCTATGAAATCTTAAAGTAAGGACCGATGAACATTATTATTATTATTCTATTCATATATATTATCATTGGAATATTGCTGCAGTGAAGTACATTCACTATTTGACTCATTCTGTCAGGTGCCACCATAGGCATTTGATAATCTATGACTGTATACAGCTTTTTTGAGGATGATGTAACCGGAAGGAAGTTTGTTCACTACATACCCAACTAAATTAATCAAATATTTCATAGTCTGGTATTATTTTATGTAAATAGAAAACCCTGAGTATCTTAGAAAGTCGGCTTGGAACGGCATTAAGTTTTCAATGCGACAGTGATACGCCAAAATAAATTAGATAACTCAGGAGTTAAAATCGCTAAATCAAAGTAGAAAGGCCATACTGAAAAGTGTCGATGTACTGCTCTGAATGAAGTTAGCTGTTCTGCTTTAAGAAAATGATGCTAATTGTTACTACTTTAAACAATCACTTTAAAAGTATTAAAAGGTGAGACAAATTTACGCAGACGAGTAAATTATTTTCCACGTTGCCAACATAAGAATTTCAGTGGAAAAACAACGGTTCAAGTGTCAATGCTTCAAACAAATTATCAACAAACTATGGGAAACAAAGTCTTCGACATACAATAACTTGAATTATACACTTAGGTAGTATGCTTTCTTTGATAACATGTTAGTTTGATGAGATATTATCAACTGAATGACTTCGTCAGCAACAGTCATTATTAATAATCATATTCAGTCCCAGTTTTGTCTGCTATCTTTACTTAATCAGTATCAGTTTGCATATATAAGACCACTGAAATTACACTGATCTCCCCTTTATTTTGAGATAAGTTTCGTCGCTGATTGGAGTCACGGGGAATTTCGCCGAAAAATTAGGTGCACTGGGTAGATCTTTTGCCCTTTTGCCAAACTTTTTGGCAGTGAACTCTAGTGACTCCTCCGACAGTTGTTCGGTGCTACTTATTTTTCAATTGTTCATTGACAGGTATCAGTTGGTGAGTTCGTTCAAATGCCCACCCCATAAACATTTACCAGCATGGTAGTCAAAAAAAGAAGGCAGACTTAATCCATTTATTCAAAGTAGGATCAAGTCAGTCCAAAGGAATACGCCTACATCTTCCTTATACAGTCGAAACTATTGCAATCTGTAAGGAAACACCTTGACCTTGTGTTCAGAAACGTTTTATGCAGCTTCTTCTACTATCCTGACTTTAATGTCAATTACTTGTCAACTGTCTCGATAATGTAGGATTACTCATTGATGTTTCTTATATACTTTTAGTTATCTTTGTTACTAAGTAACAAAAACCTCTGACCTTCGTAGGTGAGCACAGCCTACAAATAAATCCTTAAATAACTGTACCACTATGATGAGAAGTTCCGAAAATAGATCTCTTTTCACACAACCGGTTCCCCTGATTAGCCTGAACAAAGAAAGAACAAATATATGCAGTTTTGACTGTGTTCGATGTCTATCAAGTGTCTGGCAACTGCACTTGAGAACACTTCCAGGAATATCCAGTAGACGATCTTTTCTAAGCCCTTTGTATGCACTTGTGATAGCAACTGCAGTTGGATTGTGTTTTCACTGTTCATCGTGCGCCAGTCTGTTCGCTGACTAATATGTTCTTAATTCAAATCTCCCTCCACAAGCTTGACCTTTATTTACTACATAAGTAGTGCATTTAGCTTTTCTAGATAAATTTTAAACTGTCCATAACCTGAAGAACTGGAAAGCATTGGTTGGAGTGGATTTTAGTCTAAAATGGTAGACATTTTCTGGAAGGCTTTTGTTCACTCAGTTTTTCAAATAGTTATAGTGTATAAATCTGAGTATAATGTTTACTTCTGAATTTGCTCAAAGGTAGATTGGAGCATTTTTAGTATGTTGATGAATATTTCCAGTTAAAATGAAACATCAATGAAAATGAATGTAGACTGATGTTTGAATGTCTAATTTTAATCAAAACTGAAGTTTATTCGGCTAATCAAAGCCGCAACAACAACATCTTTCCCTAGTATCTTCCGTAATAGATAGTTTAATCACGGAGCTTTCTTTTTCCTAGTAGTCACTGTCGACCACAAAGAACATAGCAGAACTAAAATCATTCACCTGGGCTAAAACTTTACATTATTCCACCTATCTTTTCACAGAAATTATTAAGAAGTTGAATGGACTGTTACTGGAGATAACTATTCGAAGTCATGAATGAAACGGCCACACTAAATTCCGCTAGTTCGCTAGATAATTAGACTGTTACGGATACTGTAACTTCTTAACTCCTATCTTAAGTATGGTAGGTTTGTTCGTATTTTGATTAATGGCGAGTAGCAGTGGAATCCAGAATGCCCCTTCCATCATCCGGATATGCTTGGATCCCCAATGAGTCGCGGTATTCCTTCTGGGATTCGAACCCAGAACCAATCCCTTCAGGGGTACTGAAGCACTTCCCACTAGGTCACTGGGCTACGACAGCTTAATGGAAAATGCTTTGATGTTTGAAACGTTGGGTGCAGAGTTCGCGTCTCAATGGGAACGCCATCACTTACTGGGAATGCAAAAATATGGGGATAACAGTTCCGAAGTAGGAAGAATTGCCCATTTTGGATTCCAGTGCCTGTCCTCATCAATCAAAATAACACTCTGTTAATCTACAGACACAGTCGAAGGGTCTACTGGTAATTGAGATGTCAGTAGAGATCGAGCATTTTGTTCCAACATAATTGGTCACCTGGAAATGTGAATTAACTTAAAACTATCAGTTTGTTTTAATTGAATTCGAGATTTTCCCGTCGATTGATTGGACCGAAGTGCTCGGTCTCAGGTTGACACGTCGGCTTCTTGTGCAGATGCTTCGACGATGTCTGGGCATTTAGTTAGTATTTAATTGGTGGCTGGCAGTGGAATCCAGGATGCGCATTTCGTCCTATCTGGGCACTTGGTTCGAGCCTCGGTGGGAACATCATCACTCACTGAGAAATGCAGGTACTTCCATATGAGGAGTCCCAAATAGAACGAAATGCGAATCCTGGATTCCACGGCTAGTCACCATCCACCGATTAAATCAGTTTGCTTGCTTATTATTTTTGAAAATGAGACTGTAACTTTGTTTTTTTATGTTTAATTAAAGTTAATCAAAGGGTTCATTTTAAAGCTGGTGATAAGATATTCACTTGTGCTGGCTTTTCATGCAAAACAGTACAAACTAATAATTAACAAGAACAAAGCAGTCACAGTAAAATCACTTGTTTCAAAAATACATGGGTCCAGGTGAAATGTTACCGCGGCAACTGATATTATATGACCTGCTTACTTTATGTTGTTCAAGTTGTCAAACACAGCCCATATTAAATGCTGTACATTCTGGATTTATAAATAAAAGTTCGGAGAAGGTCCAGTTTATATTCGTCATTTCAGTGTTATCAGGCCGTTCAAGTACATAGCCCAAGTATTAGGGTGAGACAAATCTATGTGGTTTAGTGAAGTGAGTCACACACTCTCTCTCTCTCTCTGCATCATTCATTCGCGACACGCCCATCATATGTTAGTAAACCATCCCACTCAGGCTGTGTAACACTACTAGTTAAAGTGAATGCTTTCCAAATGTTCAGAACATTATTATGTACAAAAATTTTAGTGATATCAACTGTTGTCAGTCAGTTTATTCTGTCCAAATATGGTAAATATTTTGATCAACTTAACTTATCCTACCATCTAACAAACTAAACTAATTCGCCTTCCTGTTCAAACTCCATTAGTCAAATTCATAAAACTGTTAATGTAAATGTCTTAATCTTCAAATGGTAGATTACAGAGAATGATTACAGTTGGGTAGCATATGAATTAACAGCACTGTGATCTGTTAAGGACAAATTCAGGGCGGAAAAATAGCCGGTGAAAAGATATCCATTTCACAAGTGATGATGAGCCTTTGAAGATGTAATGGGAATGGAAAATACATAGTAATTAATGATAATTATAATAATAAATCAATGGTAATAGCATTAGTGAAATAGAGTTTTTATAAACTTACGACGACAACAACAACAACATCGATAATAGAGCGACCTGTGATTTATCCCATTTTTGTTATATCCAATGCATTTACTTCCTCTGTTTTGATGGTGACTTTGTGTTGAAACAATTATCAGTGATCTCAGGATGAAATGTTTCTTCTTATATCCAAGGATACAGTTTACACAACTATTTGTTGGCATATTTATATGCATTCTAAGTGTAAACGGACTAATATAAATTAGCATAATATCTATCCTCACTCATCCACTCCCCCTGACCGTCCCCCCTCTCTCTCTCTCTCACTTTCTGATGATTTCTTCTGCATCTACGCGTGGAATGCAATAAAAAAGGTTTGAACCTTTGTTTCTCATACTCTGTTGAAGATGTTTCAATGATTTCTTTTGTTAGAAGAGAAGAATAATCATGAGGCTGAGGACAGGGAGTGAGTGAATGAGTGAGTAAGTGCGGAAGGGAGAGAGAGAGAGAGAATAGGTATTTACGCTTAATTCCACACAGGATAGTGTATTCATGAGCTGAAGAGAAGCTACTGATGATTCTAATGCTGAAGACAGGCGAAGATGTGTAAAAGATGCAAATTTATTTTGAAAAAGAAAAAAACATTTCCATTTTTATAAACTTTTAGACTTATAAAATTAACTGATTGGACAGAAGACTAATTTCCTAATTCATAGATAGATGAATTAATTGTTGCCTAGTTGGCGCGTATTACTTTACTCGTGTGTGAGTGTGCGTACGTGCTTGCATGTGTAAGCGCTTAAGTACGTAATGTATTCATTAACAATCTTTTCATGCTAATGTATCAGTGTTGAATGACGGGTAATATTTTTTTTTGTAGAAGAAAATATTTGCCTGTCTACCTGTTTGTGTGTATGTCATTGCGAATTGGCTATTTTCAATGGAATAAAGACAATAAAGCCAATAATGAATTTGGTTTGTCAATATACTTATGCACACACAGAAACACACATACGCACACATATACATATTATACTGGTTTCCAAACTCTAGTTTTATATTATGCAAATTCTTTTGCTGCAAATAACTATTCTTGTTTTAATTCTTCCTCGCCCTCTCTCTCTCTCTCTCTTCCTCGCTGTCTTTCTCTTCTAATATGCAAATAAAATGAGTTTGAATAATTTGAAAAGTAGAAGACAACTAAAACTGGGGAAGGAGATGTGGTGATTTTCAACTGATCAAATTTTAAAATTCATTGTACGCCTAACTGACATGATAACCATAGTAATAGTGTAAAAGTAATTACGAATAAAAACAGTGGCCAATAATAATAATATTTCAGGATTTCATCATGAGCTGACATTAGTTAGAGAACCATTGGAAAACCTGGGAGTGGCTTGTCATAGAATCCAGGACGCAAGTTTCGTCATCTGGATAGGCCTGTACTCCCAGTGACTGATAGTTTCCCATTGAGGCCGACCCAGCAACCATCATTTCAAATGCCAAACGATTAGCCTTAAATATCTGAAGTACTGATGTAAGTGTAGAACTTGGGTACGGTGGTAACATGTAATCCCATATTTTAATTTTATTCCTTTACGTTCCCAGTATATCCTGGACCGACGTGAAGAACCAAGAAGACCTGGATTTCGCGCGTGGATGATTTATGTTTGATGTCACACACACACACACAAAATCGAAGACTTACAAGCGAAAACCGACAAACTGGTCGAAGAAGCAGACAGTGAAGACAGGACTCCAAGTGAACATTGACAAGACGGAGGTTATGAAAATAACCAACCAACCAACAACAGCAAAAGTAACAACATCCAGCACCAATCACCATCAACGGGAGGAATTTGAAAGAGGTTACTTCATTCACTCACTGATCTAGGGAGGGAGCGCTGCCTCAACTGCAGGCAGTCGGAACGGACGAGGATGTCAAATCGAGCGAGAATCATAGGGAAGGCGAGAAACACATTCACTCATCAACCTGAAAACAATCTAGAAATCTTCCGCTGTCACTCAGCATCAACAACAAAATTCAGTCGGATTTTCAATACAAACGTCGAGTCAGTCAGTTCTTCTATACAGATCAGAAACTTGGTGGGCGAGTCACAAAGAATATTTCCAACAGCCTGTTGAAGACCTTTATCAACAACTCTCTCCGGTCTATATTGAAGATGAGATGCCCGGGCCGGAAAGAATCACCAACAAGAAACTATGGGAACGAACAAAACAAGAACCAATCACTCAATAAACATGCAGGAGAAAGTGGAGATGGATTAGATACTCGCTCACTGAGGAGGCCGCCGCTGGGTGACATCGCGCGCGCGTCAGGTGATCGCTCGAGTGGAACCAGGTCGAAAGGGAAGCGGCGAGTGGGACGTCAGTGCAAAGGTGACATGGAGGAGATGGTGTGAAGAGGAGTTGAAACAGTATGGACTAACATAGATGCAGTAGCATAGGTACAGCAGAAGACAGAAGCAAGTGGAGACGTGCAGTTGAAGCCCTATGTTCCACTAGGAACCCAAGGGAACAATAATAATAATAATAATAACGTTTCCAGTGGAACATAGGGCTTCAAGCCAGAGCTTTGAAGTTTCGGTAGCAGTGGTGTTTTTATTATTACTGGATGAGGTTGCTAGCCTCATGTCCAACCTTTCCTACTTACCAGTTTTTTTACTGGTTTAGTGAGGTAAATGAGTGAGTTGGCCAGGGCTCGAACCCCAAACCAAATGCGTGGTCGACGGTCATCTAACCGCTGTACCATCGACGCAATCCCACATCAGATAAGGTTATTTGACATAATGCACGGTGACACAATATTAATAATTGGATGATGTTTCGAGCACAGTTTATTACTCATAAGCATATCAGTGTATTCATACGACTTCATAATTTACTTTACATATATTTTTCTCTTCCCCTTGTTATGGACTGTAATTTTCAATATATCCAGTGTAGGTGTTGCGTCATTTCGACTTCACGTGTTTACTGTCGATTTGATAAAAAAAAGACTAGCTCTCTGTCCATCTAACTAAATTACATTTTAATAATCTCACTCTATCCCACCCTATGTTGTGATTAAATGCAAGCGAATGCATTGCAATGACCGAGTTTTTTTCTACATTATTTAACATAGCTGGGTCAATTACCCTAGGTCCAGGTACATTTTTATGCTTCAACAATGTAATTGACCTCGATCTACTAGTTTGACCTATGTAATTGACCATAAAGTCATTATATGGTATTTATCAAAATTATATTTTTTCTTAATTGGATCCATCGGGTGTTTAGGCCGACAAAGTCACACTGATTACATTCTAATTAAGAATCCTACTCAAAGATTCTCATGTTCCTTCTTTATAAGGTACTGTTATCTAAGGTTGAAATTCCTTATTATTGATATTATTTTCAATAATTACATTACTATCATTCCCTTGGGTTCCGAGTGGAACATAGGGCTTCAGCAACACATCTCTCTGCTCTCCTCTTCATCTGGGTCCACGACTGACCATAATCTCTCATCTCCTCTTCGCACGATCTTCTCTATGCTACCCTCACACTGACGACCTTTGTCGTTTCCCACTGGCATTCCACTAGAGCAATGGCCTGTATTGCGCGTTATTTCATTCAACGGCCTCCATCTCTATTTTCTTCTACATATTTGTCGAGCAGTCAGCTGTTGGTTGGTTTGTTCCCGGTCAGAGTTTCTTGTTGTTAATTCTTTCAGCCCTGCCATTTGATCTTCAGTATGGGGCCAGCGAAGGCAGCCTGTTGTAAACCCTTTTCGTGACATGTAGGCCGAGTTTCTGACCCGTAAAGAAGGACCGACTTGACATTGGTGTTGAAAATGCGACGCTTCTTCTTTATGCTGCAGCGGAGTACAGAAGATTTCCAGACCGGTTTCAGATTGTTGAGTGCGTATCTCTCACCTTTCCGATTCTAGCTGACTGACTTTAACGTCTTCACCCGTTCCACCCACCTCTGGTTGAAACTTGCTAGATAAGTGAAGGAAGTAACCTCTTCCGCAGTCCTGTCTTCGCTGCCTCTTCAACCAGTTTGTTGGTTTTCGCCTGTTAGTCTTCGAGTTTATATGACATTAGACGTATATCACTTGCGAAATCCAGATCTTTTAGAGTCTTTTTAACGGTGGTCCAGCGTATTCCTGTCTTCTCACTTCCAAACATAGTCTGACGCATGACCTGTCCAACACTATTAGGAACATCATTGGTGATAATAGGCAGTCGGCTTGTCTTTCTTTTGTATTCACTTTGAACGCCTCACTGAGTTTTCTATTGTGGATCACCTGACACATGCCATTTTTATATAGCTGCTGAATGAGGTTGTTAAAGGCTTGGGCACTGCACACCGTAGTATTGAGGTGGTTTCCAAATCATTTCTCAGTCAAAGCTGTCGAAGGCCTTTTCAAAGTCGATGTAAATGAGGTAGAGAGAGGTTTGACTACCATTTTAAGCTCTATTCAGTGACGATACATAGAGTTGCACTTTGATCCACACATAATATGTCTTTTCTGAATCAAGCTAGTGCAGGCAGGAGGAGCTCTGAATCTACTTGGTGTGGACAAGAAGAAGACTCCATGTTAGTTCTTGCAGGGGCAGAAGTTACCCTTTTTAATAGCTTAACAAGGTAGTCTGTTTTCCAATCCGTAGGAACCTTTCCTTCCTTCCAAACCTTTTGCAATAATGATATCAGCATGTTTGCCTCAACCTCTGGGTCCGTTTTCAGTGCTTCGGAGTGGGGAACTTCCATCTGGTCCTTCTGCCTTCTCGAATTTCAGTAGCTTGATTGAATTCGGAATTCTGCTTTCTTTGGAGGATTGGTGTCCACTGGCAGTTATGTGCGTAGTATCGGTAGTATTTCTTTACGAGTTTCAAGTGATGGTTGAATCAAAAGTCCTTCGAAGTGATCAGCCTATTGTTTAATTGTCTCTCTTCTGTGGCAATTAGGTTCCCTTGAACATCTTTTATAGGTTTCACCTGCATTGATCTCTTCCAGGATAGAGACCTGGTTATCTGATATAATGTTCTGAGGGCTGTTTCACCTGCGGCCTACCTGTTCTGCTTTAGCCACCAGCCGGTGTATTGTGGAACTGTCTTTCGTCTTTCCTAGTACTCTTCTTCACTTCTTTATTCAGTGCAGTATACATTGAACTCAGCTTCTCCTTCTCCTGTTGTCCACCTTTGCATTGAGTCATCTT